TGTACAGCGGACAAATGCTAAAGTGTAAGCGTCGCAATTTTTGCGCAAAAGATGGCGGACGAGGTCTTCGTTGACAACGCTTATTTTCCTGCAGTTTTCATGTTCTTCTTGAACCATTTATGGCTTTGATCCGGCACTGTTACACTTCCTGAATCATATTATACAGTCTTATTAGTCTTATTATACAGCACTATTTAATTTAACCCTTGGAGAGTTTTGAATCTTTAAAAATGGACGACGACGTGGAAGTCGAAGATTTTGAGATCACAGACTATGACCTTATGCAAGGCTTCGGCTTGGGGTTCAGAAAAAAAAGAATGACCAAGGAAGAAGCAATTTATGGCATGTGGGCAGAGAAAGACTCGGATGATGATGAAAGATCGAGTGGGTTTTCGGGGAAAAGAAAGAAAGACTATTCCAAACCGCTGAATTTCGTCAGTGGAGGCATTGTTCAGAAGGGAAAGGATAAAAACGCTGAAGATGATGGTAGGCTTGCTTTTTGCTACTGCAAATAATGGGAGTAAAGAGTTACAGTGATAAATTTAACCAGGAGGAAAGAAATGATGGTACACATATAGCTTGGTGGAAATTTTAGGAAAATGTTCATTAGTTACACAAACAGCTCAGAAATTCTGACTTCTGCCAACAGGAATCGGATCATGTGCTCTAAAGGCATCCACAGGCGAGTGTTGATCATTACCCTCTATCAACCCTTGATCGGTACCCAATCAATACTCAATCAACACTTGATTGACACCTTGGTTAACAATCAATCGACACTTGATTGACATCTCGGTTGAGAGTTGACTAATTTTTGCAGACACACCATTGAGTGTCAGTTGATACATATGAGTCAGTCAACACTCAGTGGACTATTGACTGACTGTCTATTAATTGTGGAACAGGTGTTGACCAAGTGTCGCCTGAATATCGATTAAGATGTAGATCAAGTGTCGATTGAGATGTTGATCAAGTGTCAGTTGAGATGTCAGTCAAGTACTGATCAAGTTTTGATTGAGGGTTGATCAAGGGTATCAATTGACACTCGACTGCAAATGTCTTTAGGGCACATGATCCCAGGAGTCTACCCTGCAAGACAGAGATTCCCTTCTCTTTTTGCTTGGGGAGAAACATGGAC